AAAAAAAAAAATTTAAAGAATATATGTAGTATTATATAAAGTTTAGTATATATTATTAAACTTATATAAAATTATATGTGGTTTTATGTATAGTTTATATATATTTTATATATAGTTTATATAGTATATTTATATTATATATTTATATAATACCACATACATTCTTTAAAATTTTATATAAGTTTATATAAAGTTTAAAATAAGTGAAAGTTAACTATATTTTTTAGGGACGCATGTGTAGTTAAGTAAAACTAAAGAAAATTATATATTATCTTTAAAATTTTATATAAATATAAAGTTTATATAGTTTAAAATAAGCGAAAGTTAACTATATTGTTTAGGGACGCATGCATAGGTAAGTAAAACTGAAGAAAAAGTCAGACATGGTCAAGAAGAGCGGGTGTGTGAACGGCAAGGGGGAGTGACTTTGGGGTGCTGATGTTCTATTTCTTAACTTGGGTAGTAGCTACTGATGTTCGCTTTATAACCAGTCTCTAAGTTGAACATGCGCATTTATGCATCATCTTTACCCAGAGAATCGCTGTCAATTTCTTTCGAACTGTGGGCCCCAGAGCAGGCCTGCTGACTACCTCAATACTTGGCTTATGCAGACAAAAGGAGTATTCCTTTAGTAGTAACAAAATACTAGAGGCAAATCAGCTTCCAAAACCAGGTTATACATACTAAAACCAAACGACTTTGGGGCTATGGACCATGCTCTCCTTTTTAGCTAGGCAGACACTCATGAGTCTTAACTTTTTACCAGACAGGCTGGCCCTTGATTTTTGTTTAATGTTTTTGTAAATGTGTTATAATAATACATTATTATAACATCTGCTGCAAAGTCAGGTGCGGGCCCCTCAATCGAGGCTGTGCCAGCGTCGGGGTTCCCTGAAACGAACCAGGGACTAGAACTATTAACAGTCATTTCTGTGGCACAGCTTTCAGGGAAAGGCGTTTAATATGGGACGGAGTTCTGCCTGGGGGGCGGGGGTCAAACGCTTCCAGCTCAGCCCCAGGGTCAAACGCATCCGCCCCGACACCCACCTCTGGCTGGCCTGGGTCCCAGGTTCTCGGGGTCCGGGAGCACAGAAGCCCCGGGCTGCTCAGGGAGGCGGCGGTCCTTGGCGAAGGCCGTCCGCGGCGCCAGCGGCGGGGGTCAAACGCTTCCAGCTCAGCCCCAGG